ACCAGCAAGATTAATAACTTTACAACAGTAGTCAATGGCAGAAGCAGAATTCTAAATGAGGCCTGCCAGGCTCCAGTGTCCATATTTTTCTTTTGTTAAACAAGGTGCTTGATTTGTATTGTTTCTTCTATGATAATTTCTTCTTTAAATTTCTCATGAAGATTGAGCTCAGTAAAGTTCTTCATGAATGAGCTTGCTGTATTTTTTTCTAATTTATCACTAAGTTGAATTAAATTTAATTGTGTTCAGTGAATATCTAATCGCTCATCCTGGCACAGAGAGAGGGCATACATGGGTTGGTTGGTTTTTGTAAGATAAATGAATATTCAATATTTTGGATAGGGGCCTTCAGCCTCCATCATTTGACAAATGTAACAACATAATTTGATACGGAGTTTTTTCAAGTAGAGTCCACTGACAGTTAAATAACCTGACTTCAGCTATTCTAGAATTGCAGTATAGAATGGATCAATGATCCTTTTTAAATAAAATCTGTCAATTGCTTCATTTATTTCATATAGATTGTTTGCTTAATATGTTCTTGTTCAAGAATAAGAAGCCAAACTTTACAATCTGTGGGGGTTTTAATGTCAAATAATTCCAGGGTAGTTTTCTGTTACTATAAAAAATTAACATCTTTTTCTCTTCATTGTTAGAATAAGGTGAGTGATAAGGTCTCAATATTCTGCCTTCTTTGCCCTGGTCTTACCCATTTGTTCTTAGTCTTTTCATGCATTCTTCTCTGATTACATCCGAACGATAATCAGGAACATAATTTCCCCCACTCTTATGCTTTCTTTTAACATTTTGAAAATAGATCCATAGGGAATTAAAATGTAATTAGATAACTAAATGATTAAAGTTTACTGTTAGTAGTTTAAAATATTTCATTGTCATTAATTAGATCAGTTACACTTTCCTTGACTATTTTGTCTGAGGTATACTCTTTCCAATTTATTCATCTTTCATTCAGACTAAAAATACTTATTCCATGCTTATTGTGTTCTAGGCACTATGCTAGGTTTGTCATCCTTATTTCTTCCAAATAAGGATGACAAACAGACCATGTGCCACGTTGGCCTGCATTTAGTGATTGCAATTTTCAGCCTCTCCCAACCACCCTCTTTTTCCCACACAGGGAATAATATCTGAATTCAGGAGAATGAGGATTAATTTTGAAACCATTCTAGTGTATAAGAATAGCGAATTATTGTAAAAATTCAGCATGTAACTTCATATAGTTGCTTAGGAAAACCCTTATGACACTGATCTTAATGTTCTGGTGAGCCAGGATACTTCTGAACTCATGAAGATAAATAAAGTCTTGGATCATCAAGAAAATGGCCGCCTTAACTGGTTCGGCTCAGTGGATAGAGCCTTGGCCTGCGGACTGAAAAGTTCCAGGTTCGATTCCGGTCATTGGCATGTACCTTAGTTGCGGGCACATTCCCAGTAGCGGGTGTGCAGGAAGCAGCTGATTGATGTTTCTCTCTCCCATCCATGTTTCTAACTCTCTATCCTTCTCCCTTTCTCTCTGTAAAAATCAATAAAATATATCTTTAAAAAAAAAAAAAAAAGCTTAGTACTGGAGGTAGGGAATATCCAAATAATTGTTATTTAAGGTAAAATGTGGTGTTATTAGCAATAAAAAATCCTTCTACCATATTTCTTGGAAAGGACAGTTTAATTTGGGGAGTATAGAAGAGATATATAGTATTTATGTGGCGTGTCAGCTGCACGCTAAGAAGTAGAACAGTAGAGGTAGGAGTGGGAATGGTTAATGTAATTATTTTAAACCCAAAAATCACAACCAATATCCATTAATTTGATTCTGGATATCTATTTTCTGTTTAAATATTGAAATTATCTATACAGACATAAAGCCACATGTACTTAAACACATTCACACATAAATGAAATAGCATAATAAAACCCTTAAGATTAAATGATATATTTTTCTCTAGGCATTATCAATCACTTTGACCTTGCTAGTTGATAACAACTTATAGATTCCCACTGACTTCTGTTACTCTTTAAAGATGTGGCCCTGACTGGATAGCTCAGTTGGCTTCAGTGTCCTCCCAATACACCAAGATTTTGGGTTCAATTCCCAGTAGGTTACATACAGTAATCAACCAGTAAATTCATAAATAAGTACAGCAACAAATTGATGTTTCTCTCTTCCTTTTGCTCTCTCTAAAATCAATGTTTTAAAAAAGTAAATTTTACTTTAAAAAAGTTTTCTCTCATAAAATATTGGGCCTTAAAGTATGGGTTTAATTATCACTCAAGCAGTTCATTCTGAAGTGATTAATACACCCCCAAAATAACCATTTCCTCTTCTCTCTATATAACATTGGTATTTTTGGAAATTGGGTTGCCCTTGCCAACTTTTATTTGTAGATAAAATGGGAATTGTTAAATGGTCTGTCATCAGTTCACAAGAAATCTTTGTTCCTTTATTAAGAGCAAACCAGATAAGTATTTCCATTTCGAGTTTTCAGTAACTTCTTGTACTCTTGAGGCAGCCACGCAAATCTTGCAATTGCTTCAGATATTCAACAGAAATTTCTTGCTTAAAAAAACCATAGGAACATAGTTTTCTCTCCCTCATTTTCTTGACTAGACATGGCTTTTAATAAATTAATGATGATTATTCTCAAAATGAATATTTGAAAAATATTTTAATAAATGATGATTTTTTTTATTGCAACACAAGAAATAATTTGAGTGTTCACCAATAGTGGAATATTTGGATAAATTGTGATACATTTTTATTTTGGAATATGACATAGTTATTCCCAAAAGAGAATGATCAAGATACTCTTAGAGAAAAGAGTATGATATAGGAAATTTAAAAATATTAATGGCTATGTTTATTTGTTATTTGTATATTAAAAAGGTACAGAATGATGGAGTTCTTAAGGATATTAAAATTGGATATGATAGGCAAGACAGGTAAGGGGGGAGTTGGTGTTGATAATACGGAAGAGAATTTAGAAATAGACTCCTACACCTGTGGCAGTTTAGGCCAGGATAAAAATGGCATTTCACCTGAATTCTTTAATAAATGGTGTTGGAACAGTTATTATTTAGAAAAGAAGAAGCTATTTTTCTTCCTCACCCCTTTTGTCAGAATGAATTCCAGGTCAGATATTTAAATTTTTGAAATAATGAAAGCATACAAGTTCTAGAAGGAACATTATTATTATTATTGTCATTATTTTTAATTTGAAGACCTAAGCATGACCCTCAAATACAGAAATAATTAAGGAAGGGTAAATTTGCCTATGCCATATTGTTTTGAAGGTATGAGAACTGGGTTAATCTTGAAACTATATGTGGACCCCATTTTTAGAAACATGGCCTTAAAAGTTTATCGATACTACTTTTCAAGCATTTGGACCAAGACAAACTTACACTGACCAAAAAAGATCACTATCCTATGTTTTCAGAGCAACTGCATTTGTGTTTGTGATTGTTAGCATGAACCATTTAAATTGATGGCATTTAACCTTAACTTTATTATTTGAATGTTTGCATGAGTATGTTTAAACCATAATTTGTATATTACTTCAAATGCATGAATGAAAAATCAAACATTGTGATAAAGTATGTAAGAAATTCAACATTTATAGTTTACCTCTGGACTTTGGGGCTGGGCATGGTGATGTAGGTAAACATAATTTTATGCTATTTTCTCCTTTACAATATATGTGTTGTTTTTATTGATGAGAAAAACTTTTTTTTCAGTCATTGAAAAGTAATGTAGAATTTTTGGTTTCTAAAAGATTTTGTCACATTCATGGCCTGACTGTTGCCTAGCTGTTTCAGCGAGTCACCCATTAATGGGGGGAAAAACAGGGAGTAAAACTTTGTCACTGATTGCAGCATGTATGTTAATGGAGAGAAAGGGATTTGCGATTTGTGTATTGTAGGTGGGTACTGAGGCTACTCACTCCACTGACTGAACTACAGTAATCCTGCACTGTGTCCTTAGAGGCTGCACATAACTCGCTTTTCACAAATGTGTGTCAGTCCTGGCCGGTGTTGCTCAGTGGTTAGAGTGTTGGCCTGCATATCAAAGAGTTGCTGGTTCCATTCCCCATCAAGGGCATGTACCTGGGTTGCAAGTTGGACCCTCAGGTCAGGGCATGTGCGAGAGGCAATCAATGTCTCTCTCTCACATCAGTGCGTCTCTCCCTCTCCACCTCTCCCCTTTTCCCCTTTTCCCCCTCTCCCCCTTTTCCCCCTGTCCCCCTCTCCCCCTGTCCCCCTCTCTACCCCTGTCCCCCTCTCCTTCTCTCCCCCTGTCCCCCTCTCCCCCTGTCCCCCTCTCCTTCTCTCCTCCTCTCCCCCTTCCCCTTTCCCCCTCCCTCTCTCCTCCCTGTCTTTGAAAACCAATAGAAAAAAAAAAAAATCCTCTGGTGAGGGTTAACAACAACAAAAGATGTCATTATTCTTACAAAGAAGTGATTTTATTTAATAATAATTTCAGTCTCAGGTTTGTCATAGTGTAAAATGCAGAGTTTATGTAGATTGTGATAAGAGCCATGGAGAAGGTACAGAGGACCTTTGTGAGCACCTCTGCTCCCCTGGGAGCATTTCTCACATTTCTCCGCAGGAAACTTGGAGAAGCACTGCCCTGAATAAATACGGATGGGTGACAGCGATTTGTAATCATCCTAATACTTTGTTTGGGTTTGAGATCTGAAGTTACAGAGTACCAGAAAGTAGATTTCATAAAAGGCAAATGTTATTAGCTCAATTTGGCACAATAAAATGAATGCTTGATTTGTGTACTTAAATTTTTTACTGAATTCAGTAAATACCGAGTTTTGGTAGGCACTTTAATCATTAAAACTATAATTCAACACAGAAAACAATAAGCAAACAAACTACAATCCAATTAAAGCTAAGAAAGCTAAATAAACTAATTGTAATCAAATTCACTTTGACTTCTGTTTCTCTCCCCTTTTCCCTTCCCACAGGTCACAGTAATGAAAGGCAGTAATAGAAACAAAGATCATTCAGCAGAAGGAGAAGGGGCTGGAAAACGACCAAAGCGGAAGTGTCTCCAGTGGCATCCGCTACTGGCCAAGAAGCTTCTGGACTTTTCAGAAGAGGAGGAAGAGGAAGACGAAGAGGAGGATATTGACAAGGCAATTCCTCTATTTATTATAAACGTTTTAAGTTTAAGCATTTATCCTAGAAACTTCAGTGAATGCCTGTGGTATGAAAGATGCATTTCTAAAAGTCTGTGGAACGTAAATCCTATTTAATTATTAATCTACATTTTTATTGATGATTCTCAAAGTGTCTATACTTCCTAATAGTTTAGACTAATCAGATCCTCCCTTAATAGTATTTCCATCAATTAACTAATGATTAGAAAGCAATATGAAGATGCAGTAGAGATGGGGATAATTCAGAAAATGTGGTGTGCTCACCTGCACCCACCTGTTGCCCAACTGGCCTCTTTTATTGCTTCTAGTCTGGCCCTGCCACCATAGCAGTCTCAGAGCTGTTCAGGCCCTCATCTCTGTGGCATCTGGCTGCTCTCACCCCACCAAGCCTCAGTGGCAGTCAGTTCTTCAAGTCCCTTTCTCTGGACTCACACTTGAGCATCCCACTCTTATTTAGAAAGACACAGCCATGCAGGTGGCCTTAGAAAGCCACATATTCTTCCAGATCTTGGCATAACTCCTCATCATTAGGACTATATCCCCAACAGATGGGAATCTCATCATTTCATTCCTTCCCACCCATCTCATTCCAGATCAAAGGATTTCCTTCATAGCACTTCTGACTATTTGCTTTGTTTAACTGTCCTTGTTCACGTCTGTTTTGCTATTCTGGAATATAAACTCAATAAGACCTTGCCCCTTTTATGTTCCTCTCCTTCCTTAGAACTTAGAATGGTGCCTGGCACATAGTAGATACTGAATAGATATATGCTCAGTGGAAGAATAAATGAGTACAGATTTTGTGTCACTATAAATTTGGTAAACACATTTTTAATGGTCTTCAGTTCTTTGACATCCATTTTGCTCTTAGCTTGTGTCAGCTCCCTCTTCCACCATCTCAGCTGGGATTGTAAACATTATTTTGTTTCTTAGACATCTTTTCTGTATACTCTTCATGGTTTTTCTCCTGACCTTTCCCCCTCTTCCGTAGAGAGAATAGAGGCCACCACAAATGACTTCTTCAGTTTCCTGTGCATATTTCTTCTCACCTGTGCATATTTCTCATTCCTTACCCATCTTTTCTTCCTTCTTTCCTGGTTTAGAGAAATAGGTTTTACTCCTTATTTTTGAGGAAATTGCCAAGTTCATAATTAATTTGATCTTTCTGCCACCTTTGCACCTGTTGATCATTTGGTCCTTGAAGCTGTCTCCTATTTCTGTGATATCACTCACTCCTATTTCTATTCCCACCTTCCCAAATGTATATTCCTAATTTCTTTCAGTTCATGCTCCTTCATTATTCTACTCTCAAATGCTGATTTCTTCTGGGCCTCTTATTTTAATACATATCTTTATCCCGGAGCTTTTTTCTAAATTCTGAACTTAAATTTCTATGTGATCAGAACCTCAGTTTGAATGTGTTCAAAATGAAGCCATTATCTTTCTCTTCTCCAAACTCCATTCTCCTGCAACTTCCCTTTCCCAGTAAGTGGCAACTCCAACGTTCAAATGAGTGCAACCTGAAACCTTATCTATTTTCTTTTGTATAAGTTTCACATTCGTACACCTATCAGCAAATTATCAGCTATACCTTCAAAATACATTTTCAGTTTGACCCCTTCCTGACAACTTCACTATTACCAACTTGACCCAAACCACCACCATTTCTAGGGTAGATTGTTGTCTCTCTCCCCCTCTCCCTCCCCCTCCCCCTCTCCTTTTCCTTTTCCTCTCCCTCCTCCTCCCCCACTCTCTCTCCCTTTCTCTCCCCCTCTCCCTCCCTCCCACCCTCTCTCCCTTTCTCTGCTCTTACCCTTCTGTCTGTTTTCAACAAAGCAACCAGAGGGATCCTTTTTAAGTGGAAGGCTGGTCTTGCTGCTCTTCTGCTTCACAGGGGCAGGGAATTTGTATGCTCACTGCTCTGTGTGCATCACCTGCAACAGTGCCTCGCCCATCTTAGGTGCCCGGTAAACAGTTACCAAGGGAAAGAAGGAAGTCATTGAATCCTCTTCTCTTCAGTCCACATCCGGTGATCTCATCCACACTCTTAGTGATAGTACTTTGATATTGATACCTCAGTTCATTATCTTAGCTAGAACTTTACTGAGAGCCACTTCAAATTCTGCCTGTTCATTACTCATCTTTCTGCTCCCACTACATCTAATTCCTTTGAGAAAGCATGCTCTTTTTGTATATGAAGGAGTCTTGCCACTGAAGCTATAAACACTCTTTCTTTTGCAACCTTTAAATCCAATTAGATGCCGCTCTTGGCTCTACCTCATAAATTAATATTGTCTCTGATCACACTTATTCATTCTCATGGTTACTGCCCTGACTCAGCCCTGTTCCCTTCCTCTCCTGGATAGCTGGAATAAGCTTTTATCAGTTCTCTTAGTTTTGGTTATGTCTAGTTTTGCTGTTATAATTCATTCTCTGTACTGCTGACAAGATTCATCTTAAAATACAAGTCTGTGGATTTAAGCAGGGGTTTCATATCCTGTTCTAGTACTAGTATTGATTGATTGCAAAGTATTACAGTACTCGGCCTCGGTTGAAAGAAAAATAAATTCAGATAGTTTTTCATTTTAATTTAATTTTACTTAGTCAAATATTTGTTGATTCATTTTTTGGTTAGTTTACATTATTATTTAATAGTTAAAAACATTCTTTTTATGTCCATACTTGGCAAAATAAGAAGTTGGCTATCTGTATTGGTCCCTCCCAAGTTTTTTTATTGGCCCATACATGCTTGTGTTTTTAGGTGACTGAATACACACTTCATGAAATTGTTCCTACCTTCTATAATCTCATGTCCCAGATCCCTGTTCTAATCTGCTATTGAACTGCATATTGATGTTTTAATAAACCACCGAGCTCTAATCCCTGTTAGTTCCCCCACTGACTACCCTGAAGATTCTAGTTCACCTTTGAGAGTTTTACTCAGACAACATCTTTCCTAGGGAGACTTTGTGTACTTCTGCCCATCTACTGGTGCTTTATCGCACTGGCTCCTTATTGTAGTCAGCATTCTGCTTTTTAACTTATTCACATATGTATGTTTTCCCCACCCCAAACAGTGAGCTCCTTGCGCCAGGGTCTTGTTGTTTATCTCTTTTTCTATCTCTTAGCCTGAGTTTCATAATTTAGTAACTGTATAAAAGTTATTTTTTTCTGAAGAGAAATTGTAATTACTTCCTCAACCTATCTAATACATTTAAAAAATATGTTTTATTTATAGAGAGGGAATCATCAATGAGAGAGACACCTCAATCAGCTACCTCCTTAACTGGGGATCGAGACTGCAACCTGAGTATGTGCTCTGACTGGAAATCAAACCCATAACCTCTTGGTTCATGGGTCAATTGATGCTCAACCATTGAGCCACATGAGCCAGGCCATTGTACATTAAAAAAAATTTATTGTTAAAAGTATTACTTGTTTGCCTTTATCCCCCTTTGACCTCTTCTAGCCTTCCCCCATGCCAGGCCTTCACCACACTACTGTCTGTGTCCATTGGTTTTACATTTATGCATACAAGTTCTTTGTTTGATCTCTATCCACCCACCCAACCACCCCTGCATTCCTTCTAAGATTCTGTAGTCTGCTTCATGCTTCTATGAATCTGTATCTATTTTATTCATTAGTTTATTTTGTTCATTGGATCCTTCCTTTTTACTGATGCATAGTGTTCCATGGTGTAATTGTACCATAGCTTTTTTATCCATTCATCTTCTAATGGACACCTGGGCTGTTTCTAGATTTTAGCTATTGTAAATTGTGCTGCTGTGAACATAAGGGTGCATACATCCTTTTTGATTGGTGTTTCCGATTTCTTAGGATATATTCTTCTAAGTGGTATCACTGAGTCAAATGGCAGTTCTATTTTAATTTTTTGAGGAAACTTCATACTGTTTTCCATAATGGCTGCACCAGTCTGCATTCCCAACAGCAAAGTACTAGGATTACCTTTTCTCCACTTCCTACCCAGCACTTGTCATTTGTTGTGTTGATGGTATGATGTGATATTTGATTGTCATTTTAATTTGTATCTCTCTGATGATCAGTGACTTTGATCATCAGAGAGATACAAATTGGGTTCAATTCCTTGGTTTTTATTACCTTGTATACTTCATGACATTCCCTTCTGTCCTGAAGTGTTTCTATGGAAAAGTCATCTGACAATCAAATATGAGCTTCCTTGTAGCTAGCTTTCTGTCTCTCTTGCAGCCTTTAAGATTCTTTCTTTGTCTCTAATGTTTGGCATTTTCATTTTATGTGCCTAAGTGTGGGGCTTTCGAGGTTCATCTTGATAGTGATGCTCTGTGTTTCCTGAATTTAAGTGACTTTTTCCTTCAACAAGTTAGGGAAATTTTCCTTCATTATTTCTTCAAGTTTTCTATTCTTTTCAGATTCTGCTCCTTCTAGTACTCCTTTGAGGCAATTTTTTTTTCTTCCATTTTATGTTTCCCAAAGCTCCCTTAGACTCTACTGCTTTTTAATTTTTTCCCCTCCCATTTGCTGCTCTGAATATTTGTTTTCTACCTTGACTTCCAACTTGCTGATTCATTCCTCAGCTTCTTCTAGTATACTGTTTAATTCTTCCACAGTGTTCTTTATTTTAGCTATGTCATTCCTCATTTTCAATTGATCCTTATTTCTACCTCTCTTTTCATGATGGTATAGCTCTCATTAAGACCCTAATAATTTGTTTTAAGCTGCTGGTAGTTCTCATTGAATTGTTTGAGCACCTGTGTTACCACTAACTCTGAATTTAATCTAACCAATTGTTTACCACCATTTCATTGAGTTTATTTCCTGGCAATTCCTCCTTTTCTTTTATTTGGGGATGTTTCATTGTCTCTCCATTTTGCTGTTCTTTCATTTTATTCCTATATATTAGATCAAACTGCTACGCTTCTCAAATTTTGTGGGGTGGTCTTATGTAGTAGGTTTTTTTATGGGACCCCATGGTGCATTTCCTTAGATCTCCTGAGTGGGGTGCTCTAGGAAAGCCTCTTACTTGAGATATTTGGATTCTCCTATTGTGATAAAATTAGAAAAGGAAGGGCTGAATTTGTAGGTGAGATGCTGAAATAAAGAAAATTCATATAACAATGAGGAGTAGGGAAAGGCAAAGGGTTTAACATAAGGGAAGGAGAAAAGAAATGACAAGAAAGAAAATTGGAAAAGTAAAATAGAGGAGATAACAGATAGACCTAAAATAAAATAAACAAGATGAGAAAGCAGGAGAAAAAGGAAGGGGGGGGGGGATAAGTACTGACAAAAGACCAATGAAAAATATTTGATTTGGAAAAGAGAAGAGGAAAATTAGATAGATGAACAAAACAACAGAGACTAGAATAATAACAATCAATAAAGCAGATAAAGAAGATAGATTTTTAAAAGGTACAAAAGAAAGGAAAGAGAAAAATAAAAGGAAGAAAAATGGGAGGAAAGAAGAGAAAAGGAAACAGCAGAGAAAAAGAAGAAAACATTTTAGAAAAAGAAGTGGCCTTCTTTTCAGTGGAGTTTAGTGCCCCTTGAGAGCTCACTTTGGATCCCACTCTTAGGTTCTGTCTGCTAATTCTGGGTTTCCCGTCAGGTACTTAGGTGCTAACCACATCAGTGATTGTCTTTTGGCTTTCAACAACCTGCTTGAATCTCCAAGCGATCTACTGTCCCACCGTTTATGTCTGTCTCCACAGGCCTTGGTTGCAAGCATGAGGACCCAGTCTGCCCTCTAGAGTAGTTTTGTTAGCACCCTGGGGCCCAGGCCAGCAAACTTCCCCCGGTTTCCAGGTCTGGCTTCTGCCTCCTTTGCCTGCTAGCCAGCTGTCAATCTCAGTCACTAAAAACTCTCTTTCTGAAAGGGCTGTAGGCAGGAGAGGTGCTTCTTACCTTTCAGGGAATGTGGTGGGTGTGTTTTCCCGTCCAAGAGCTATTCCTCAGTGAGTGGCCAAAAATATTACTCCTTCTTTGTCTTGACAGAGATCCTTGTATCTTGTATGCAGACTGAAGGATTAGGTGGAATCAGTTCTCTGTGTGGGGAAAGTATCAGTATGGTTCCCAGGTTAGTGAGGTGGATGGCCCCTTCTTCAGTCCCGTTACTGAAGGCACCCTGAGACTATTCAAACCCATAAACTTAGCCTCAGATTTTGTGTCCTCTGAAAAGGTCAAAATGCAGGGTATGGCATGCAGGGCTCCTGAGGGTGGGGCAAGCAGTATCACCTAGGGCGGGTTTTTTCTCTTCCTGCCCTGCCGCTTCTGGGAGCAGCTAGTAAGTAGCTCCTCTCAGGAAAAATGCCGTTTTGGTTTTGGGGGCCTATTACCCAAAGTTTCTGGATGCTGTTTTTCAAAGTCTCCCTGCAATGCTTCCCACCCCAGCCTCTACTTAGGCACCTCAAGTCCGCATCTCCCCCCTGCCCCAAAACCTTGGGTGAGTAGTAGCTATAAATGAAAACTCCTGTGCTGGGTGCCTGTGTGTGTGTGGGGGGGGAGGGGGGCGCACAAAGAAAGAAAACCAAAAGGAAACCGTGGCTTTCTTTCCTCCTGGCTCTGTTCCCTGGCCCCAGGCTCTGTTGCACCAGCAGGTCTGTCACCTCTCCTGGTGGACATTCAGTGGGTTGCTGGTATGGGCTCTGGTGCTCCAGGCTATATTGCCCAGCCTGTGTTCTGGGCCTCTGTCTTTTGAGGGGACAGACCCTCCTGGGTCAGCTCCTCAGGACCTTGCCCTTCCTACCAGTCTCCAAGTGTTTTCTGTCCTTCCTTGATATGCCTCCTCCTCAGCTGTACCTCAGTTGGTAATTATAGCTGAATGTTCTCCAGTGTAGATGTATGTCCAGTTTGGCCTAGGATGAGGTGCACAACAGGCCAGCCTATTCAGCCACCATTTTTCTCCCAATAATACAGTTTTTAATGCCTGATTTTTCTTTAGCTTCTTAGTTTCAGAATGCTAAATAAATATTGCTTGAATATTCAAATTATTGTTAATTCTATACGTAATAAGAAAAACAAATCTGTAGCCTTCAACCCAGTAATAATCTATAATGGATTTCCAAATCAGATTGCTATGATTTAAAGTTTATTCTATATTATTTGTGTTTGAAAATAATTGATGGTTGATTAAATGCACTTGCAATACTTACTTTAAACTTACAAGACTTAAAAAAAAAATACTACTTTAGATTAAGCTAGTGATTTGTCCTAGAGTATCTTATCTGTATATAAAAAAATATGGTTGCCTTATATAGTCATTCTCCAAGTGTGATTTTCAGACCAGAAGCATCAGCATCAACTGGGACCTTGTTAGAAATATAAATTAATAAGGCCATCTCCAGATCTACAGAGTCAGAAACTCGGGGAATGGGACCTAACAATCTGTCTTAACAAGATTTTTGAGGATTTCAGTGCCCACCCAAGTTTAAGAACTATTGCCCTACTGTACAATGCAGACTAACAACCACCTCGATCTTACTATTGCCCTACTGTACAATGCAGACTAACAACCACCTCGATCTTCTTGATTTTAACTATTAAACAATAAATTAAAGAAATGTTTTTAATAAGGATCCTGGACTTCTGTTCGTGGTTGTAATGTTTCTAAGATATATTATAAAATCATAATTTAGAATTAGATGATTGATGATGCTAATATATTGTGAGATTCTGTGGTCAAAGATATGCTTTAAGAAATATACTCTTCAGCTAGATGCAGGAAGTATTTATAAGAGGTTAAAAGCAGGAAGACTAGGTCATAGGCTGATGTGGAGTTAGTAGCAATGAGAAACTACCTCCTTGCACAGATGCAGTGGACAGGATCAGAGCTTTGCAGAGTCCTTAAAGACCTCTAATGAAATGAAATGCTTAGAAAAAGTGAGGATTCAGAACTGATTTTGAAGGTTTAGGCCTAGATGAGTTTATTCCTATCACCATAGTATTTCACTAGACAGGAAAATATTTATAAGCTTCAAAATGTACAATGTAGTTATTTTTTCGAATAATATTGCATGTCTATTTTGACTTTCACAGTAGCAAGGTCTACTTACGATGTGCACATAAATATTGAGTATTGTATTTAGGTTTTTATGATCTCTTTTCATGTTAAACATTTTCATATTATCAGCCATAGGAAAGTACTTTATAAAGAGGAGAAAGACAACTCTTAATATTTGTGTACTTCATGTGAATATTTTTGTTAATCTTGAGACTCATATACCACAGAATGGATTTATTCATTCAACAGTTAAGTACTATTGTTACACCAGACATTGAGTTAGGTGCTGTGTAAGCAAATACAACATAATATAATATATGCTGTAATAGACATACATGCTCAGATTACTGTAGAAACTAAGCAGGATACATCAGACTTTGTTTATCAACCACTAACTGGTTAGTAATTATTTTAAATATTTTTTTTTCTCAATTTATAAGTTGTTTAAATGGAGCTAAAAAAAAAAATACAATTTGAAAACTAAGACTAATTGTTAAAACAAAATTATCCAGGATGTGTTAAACATTTGGCTTTTGTTTGTTTGGTAATAGGTTCAACTTCTTGGAGCTGATGGCCTAGAGCAAGATGTTGCTGAGACTGAAGATGATGAATCACCAGAGCAGCGAGCCCGGAGACCAATGAATGCATTTCTCTTATTTTGCAAACGCCATCGCTCCCTTGTACGTCAGAAACACCCCAAGCTTGATAACCGAGGTGCTACCAAGATACTGGCTGATTGGTGGGCTGTTCTTGATCCGAAGGAAAAGCAAAAATACACAGACATGGCCAAGGAGGTAGGTCCCAATAACAAGGTTTGAGGTGTGGTTGTGAACAATCAATCCCATATTCCTCAGTCAGCAAATATGAAGGCCTATCAGCAGGAAGGTGAATCCTGAATTAGGTGTTAAGAGAAAACATAAGAGGTTTGTTCCTATTTCTGAGTTCTGAATTCATCTTTCAAACACTAGTGGAGTGCCAAGAACAATCTATTACCAAGATGTTTTTTCTCATTGTATGTGCTCTACTGATTGATAGATGGGATTGATTTTTATGAATGGTGATTTATTAAGAAATGGGTTTTTTAAAATAGTTTTTCTAGGAACTCAGCTTCTGCTGTCAGAAAGTGCCTGTGGTAAAGATAACAATCTTAGATTACTCTGCTTGTGTCATGGGAAAGAGTTGATCAAGTTCTGATGCTATGTAACTTTGTGACAGTATCTAAGTCAATCTCTGGGTCTCAGCTTTCTTCTTTTTATGTTAGAACTAGAGGCGTGGTGCATGAAATTTGTGCACAGGTAGGGTTCCTAGGCCTGACCAGCAATCAGAGCCAATCAGGTTCCCGCCTCCCTGCATCCCCACCTCCTCCTTCCCTCACTCCCTCAGGGCCCTTGCTGCTGCTGCTCGCCCACCATGTTCTGTGCTTCCCCTGATGGTCAGCACGTCATAGCAAGCAATCAAACTCCCATTCTCCCAATCGAATTCCTGAGGGGACACTTTGCATATTAGCCTTATATTTATGTAGATGAGGAAATTAGATAAAAAATTGTATCCCTTCCAGCTCTAACATTTTTTTTTAAAGTATATATTTTATTGATTTTTTTACAGAGAGGAAGAGAGAGGGATAAAGAGTTAGAAACATCGATGAGAGAGAATCATTGATCAGCTACCTCTTGCATACTCCCCACTGGGGATGTGCCCGCAACCAAGATATATGCCCTTGACTGGAATCGAACCTGGGACCTTTCAGTCCGCAGGCCAACGCTCTATCCACTGAGCCAAACCAGTTTCGGCGAGCTCTAACATTTTTAAATTTTGTAATATATAGAGCTATCAAGGGATATGCTTTGATTTGTTTGTTTTGTAGGTAGTGCAGCATGAATATTTAAAATAGTAAATGTTAAAGGGCAGTGGAATGGGATGTATAGTGATGTGTGCATGCATGTTAACAATGTGAGGGCAGTAGTTTGTGAGAAGCATTTCCGTGCAGGAAGGCTATCAGATAGGTTGGACATTAGTTTTGTAATGATAGCAGTGACTAAACTTCTTCAAAAATTATACACTGGTCTGTTACTAAATTAATCTGAAATTAACAAGAGTTCATTGCACAGGAAAGCAATATCTTTGTGATTAAACCTGAAAAGACTAATTCTAACTTTATTTCTTCAGTGTTGCCACTTGCAAACAATCTTGATTCATGAATCATGAAAACCCTGTCACCCAAGTATTTGGTTAAACCTGTGAAAAGATGAACCAGTAGGTGGCAAAATACAGTGTTTCAAATGACATGTTATTAGACATCTCAGTGTGTGGAAAATAATTATTTTAATTGCTGTGATTTTATTGAGTTGTTTAACAAGATAACATGGAACATAAAGAATTTCTTAGGCAATGTTCAGGGAAATTTGAATCCAGAGTAAATGATTAGCCTGCCTATTTATGTAATCAATGCTCACATAGGCTTTAGGAATTGACTACTGCTAGAAACAGGATTTTAACTATGTAGAGCATCTAGAAAGTTTAAAATAAATTCCAGTAGTCTATATGGTTTTAAATGTTTCAGTAAATTCCCACTAGCTTAACAATAAATAGTAAAACTTTCTCATTAAATAGCTTTAGATCTTTTCCTAGTCATTCATGCTTATATGGTAAAATAAACAATTATCTGAAACCTCATAGAGACCTGCATTGGCCTCCTATAATTAAACAGTTGAGTTTGTTTTTGGATTGCTGTATTTGGATAACAAGCAGCCTGTACCAAGTATATTATTTAGTCCAACTACTGCTAATTTGCCAACTCAACAGGTGACCACTTTTAAAAAGAGGAGGTATTATTTTTATATAGGAAATCCCTTACTAATTACTTAACTAGAGTTATAGTATTTGCCATAGTGGTGCTGTAATGAAATTGTTAAAGTGGTGCCCTGCAATCTACAAGAGATGATCATAACTGATTCTTTATCTTTTGTCTTTCCTAGTTTATATATGTTCTTATTACATAAATGTTGTCTTGTTTCCAGTGCACAGGGTGGATAATTCAACTACTTCCAAAATCATTATAGGATTGGTTGCTATTCATAAGTAATACTTCTTTTTTTCAATTTATTTACTAAGTGGTTTTGAAATTACATTAAAGTGCAGGTAATTGTGATGTTGCTTTTTTGTGTGAATGTTGCAGTCTCAATTGGAATATCAGTTTAATAAACAAAACACTTATTGCTTCAAGGTACCAGGTCTTGTGGTGGTTGCTAGTGATAAATATGTTCTCAGTTCCTCAAGGTCCTCCTCAGCATATCATTTTTATAATTGCTTTCCATGTGTAATCTTTCAATTTCAAAAACCAATTTAAAGTGTGTTTCCTAATAGGATAAGACATAGTCTTTCTGCATAGTTGACTGTGAATGTGAATGCTGTCATTGTCAGTCGAGTAAGAAATACATAATTTTTTCCTTTTTGTTTTTAAAAGAAACATATTCTAGAACTAGCAGTGAATAATAATTAATATAACTTTAGAGAGATTTATTTATTTATTACTGGCTAGAACTTTCTCTGACCCTTTCCTTGTAAGATGGTGTAAGTGTTGTGGCTCTTCACAGGTTCTGATTTCTGACTGTGACTGCCTGTTGGGACATGTAGAAATAGTTTTACTTTTTCTTTTAATATCTTTATGTACTCTTACAAATATAGGAATACAAGGAATACAAGTCTTTCTAACTGCCTAGGATATTGCTGGAACCATCCATTATTCACTTAAACTAATAATTATAATTCGCAGTTTAGAGGATCACATATCTTGACCTTTACATTGAATAGGATCAGTGCAAAGACAAGGGAGAATCCTGGAAGTCAAGGCAATTTTTAATGACCTTTATAATACAGTCTTCCTTCTTTTATGGAGAATCAGAGACATGAGGCCGAATGCATGCATTTGTTGATTGATTCATCAACATTTTACATAAGCACAAGCATGTAAAGTCAATTGTGCTTGTCCCAATTCTTTTTTATTTTTACTATTGTTGAGAATATTACAGATTATACCTTTTCCCCCACATTACCCCACACTCCCCAGTTCCCACCCTGCCCCAAGCCTTCATCACCCTGTTGTCGGTATCCATAAATAATGCCTATGTACATTTAAGTTCTTTGATTAATCTCTTCCTGCCCCTCATTCCCACTTCCCTCTGAGATTCCTCAGTCTGTTCCATGTTTGATGAGAGAGAAACATCGATCAGTTACCTCCTGCTCACCCCCTACTGGCAAGCAAGGTACATGCCCTTGACCGGAATCGAACCTGGGACCTTTCAGCCCACAGGCCGACGCTTTATCCACTGAGCCAAACTCAACAGGTGACCACAAAATACCATGTGCGGGCGTGCACATATAATGTGGTTGAAACTTCCTGCAGAGAAATCAATTTTCGACCTGGGCGAATCTATTTTGAAGAAGTGGTTCTAATGCCGAGCTACACTCAAGGGGCCAATGAGCCGCATGTGGCTCGCAAGCCACCATTTGCCGACCACTGCTATAGCAAACATTTCCATTTCCATAAAATTGCATGGAATTTTTAGTGATTAGTTATTCCTCCATATTTCAAGATAAAATTAAACTGTTTTGGGGTTATTTATTTGCACGTAGGGTACTTTTTATAAAGGCCATTCATTCCCTTATTTTGGTTTCATTAGAAATGGATTCTTCTCCAAAAATGATATATTCTTATTTTCTCATGTATTGTAACTCTGGCAAATTTTTGTTAACTGTCATGTATTGTGTTTAACAAAACTTGTATTACATGCTTGCTGTGGCACCTTGCATACTACTGCACTGAGAGGAGCACCTCATTTAGCCAGCATCCTTGAGAAACTGATGTTACAAATTGTTGCTCCTTTAAACACTTACTATTTTACATATTTATCCTGGAAATTTTATTTAAAATTTTATTTACATACTTTCTTAATTAAAGTATTCAAATTGTCTTTTGAATTATGTGAAAATTTCAACTCATTATTTACAAACAAGAATTATTTTATAATCTGTAATATGGTGAGACCTTTGTGAATAATTGCATTTTGTTCACATTTCTGTCTATGTATCAAATGAGACTATTTTGTTCTTTTAAATTCCTTCTTTGCTTTCCCATGGGTCTTTCTTTTGGGTCTACCCTCCACAGTATTGACATTTCTCTCCTTTCACTTCTTTTGGCTACCTCTAATGAAATGGCTTACTATCTGTGGGATTTCTGAATGTGGCTTAATTAGAGCCCATTTCCCACCCCACCCCGGGGCATTGTGGAAAATAAAACCAAAAATTTTGGCTCTTTGTTTCACAGTATTCCTTGTTTCTGAGACCTTTCCCATTTTTGTGTTTTAGGTATCAGTACTTTCTTACTATATTTTAAAAAATATTCCAGCATTTGTCTTTTAATGGGAATAATCAGTTTCTGAATATTGCTCTGTTTTGTCCAGGTTTCTTTTTTAAACTTTTAACTCATTTACTCTTCAGATTAGTCCCATGATTTAAATATTATTTTCCAAAGGCTTAAAATAAGGACACTGAGGCCCAGAAAAATTAAGTGACTTGTCCAAGGAAGCAAGTTAGTAACAGCATAGCAGTGGTTTTCGTACTTGGACCTCTCCCTTCTCAGACTTTTCTGAGTTTCCACATCTGGAAAATGGCATTAAAGATGCCTGCCCTCCCAGGGTCAAGATGAGATACAAAAAAGGTGATGTAGGTGTAAACATTCCATAAAGTTTAAAATGCTGTATAAATGTTGGTTTTATTGTTATTCCTGACAAGCAAA